CCGTATACCCAGCCCCTGTGCCCCACCCCAGAGGGGCCATGTCCCAGTGCCGGGCGAGGGGTCCCCGTATACCCAGGCCCCCACCCCAGAGGGGCTGCATCCCGGCACCGGCCAATGGGTTCCTGTATACCCAGCCCCCACGCCCCACCCCAGAGGGGCCGGGTCCCAGCATGGGGCGAGGGATATACCCTGCGCCCCACCCCAGAGGGGCTGCGTCCCAGTGCTAGGCGAGGGGTCACCGGATAACCAGCCCCCTGCCCCAACCCTCCTGGTATCCGCCCTCCCCTTGTGCCCCCCCCCATGGTATCCTGTCCCCCCCGTCCCAGGGGGGTTGGGGCCCCATCCCAGCGCCGGGTGACAGCACGAGCACTGTGGAGCTGTGATCACCCTCCTGTTTGGTGCAGGTGATTCTGGACCAGTTCAACCCCGGCCTGAGGAGTTTTGTCACGATGGGGAAGAGTTACCAACGAGCGCTCTCAGGTAAACCGTGATTTCCCCACGGACCCCCCAGCCCATCCCTGCCCTGGGGCCGGATGGGAGCCGGCGCCCGCTAGAGGGGACAGGCCCCAGGCCCCATTCCCCACCCCCTGAGCCAGCCAGTCCCTGCCCTGGGGCCGGATGGGAGCCGGCGCCCCCTAGAGGGGAAAGGCCCCGTGTCAATCACTCCCTCGTGTGCTCTCTCTCCCGGCAGGGGTGACCGTAGCGGCCAAGGGTTATTTCGACGCCCTGGTGAAGCTGGGGGAATTGGCCAGCGACAGCCAAGGGTCCAAGGAACTGGGTAGGTGATGCCTGGGACAGAGGGCTGGGAGGCGGGAGGGGGCTGGGCCGTCTGCTCCAGGTCAGATCCACGGGCCCATCTACCCCGGTATCCTGCCTCCTCCCTGCCCCCGGATCAGAGCTATGGGCCCAGGGCCCCTGGCATGCCGCCCCCCACCCCACCCCCCAGATCTCCGTGCTGGGGGGTTCCTGCTGCAGGAAGATGTTGTTTTCCTGCTGGAAGCCAGGATTTCCTCCCATCTCCACTCCCCCATCCTGGGCTGGGCCGGCCTTGCAGACTGTGTGGGGGCAGGGGAGTGTATCCGTGTCCTGAGAATTCCCCCCCCCCCCCCCCCCCCCCCCCCCCCCTCCCCCACACCCATAGCTCACGGCCCCCCCGTCCCCCTTCGCCTTGCCTAGCAACCCCCACCCCCAGGTTCCAGCTTTAACCCTTCACGGCCTGGGGGGCCAGCTCCCCCCCCCACACTCTGCTGCCAGGGCCTAAATTTCCCCTCCCCCAGGGTGTGACCTGCCTGGGGAGTGGGAAGGGGGAGTTGAGAGGCTGGGGGGGGCTCAAAGAGGCGGTGGGGGTGGAGTGAGGGGGGCTGAAGGGGGGATTGTGTCCCTCTGCCTCTGGGGGAGGGGGCCGTGGTGCACATTGGGGTTGTGTGCATGTGGGGCAGTGCATGCGGGGGTGAGCAGCGTGTGAACCGGGGTGGGGGAGTGTAGCAGGTGGTGAGTGTCTGGGAATTTGGAGAGGGGATTGTGGGTGTGCAAATTGTGGCAGGTGTGTGCAGGTTGTGGGAGGGGTGTGTGGGGGGGTGTGCGCAGATGGCGGGAACCGGAAAGCGGGTGTGCGCAGACGGGCAGAGTGCGAGTTGTAGGGCCGTGTGGGGGTGACCGCGGGGAGCCCCCACATTGTGTGACCGGCTGTGGGGGGGAGCCGGCCCCGCTCGCCAAGGCTAATGTGATAGTGCCGGGCGTGTGCGGGCGATGTGTGTTAACGGGTGGGGGGCCCTGCTCACACGCGTGTGGGAACGGTGAGCCTGGCCCTGGGTGAGGGGGGCAGATGGGACCAGGGGATTATGGGATAGATTAACACCCCCCCACACACACACCCCTGTCGTTTCCCCGTCCCCCAGGGGACACCCTGTTCCAGATGGCCGAGGTGCATCGGCAGATCCAGGTGCAACTGGAGGAAACTGTAAGTATCTCCCCTCCCCCCCGGCATCACGTTATCCCTCCCCAGCCCCCAGCTAGCTCCCCACCTCCCCAAAGCCCTGGGGCGCCTCCCACCCGCCCTCGCTGCCTTCTCAGCCCCCTCCCCA